TAGCATTTTGATAGATATCTTCTAGTAGTTTCCAGAGAAGAGTGTATGAGAGTTAAATTTTGTTGTGACCTTGAGTGTATTAAAATATCTTTAGTCTACCCTTGAACTTGATTGAAAATTTGATTATAGAGTTCTAGGTTGAAAATATTTTTTCTTCAGAATTTTAAAATATTTTGTCGGTGAGTTCCCAAACCAATGTATTTGTTAAGAACTCTAAGGTGAATCTTATTTTATATCTTCCTGTATGTGACCTGTATTTTTATTTCTTGTAGTATTTTGTCATTGCACCAAGCATTTTCAAATTAAACACTGATGTGTCATGGTTTGAGTTTATCTTCATCCATTGACAATTAGTAAGTTCTTTCTACTAGGAAATTAATTTCCTTCAGCTCTTAGAAATTTTCTTGAATTACTTCATGGATAATTCTTTTGTTTGTTTCTCTCTCTCTCTCAGTTACTACAAATCAGATGTTGAGCCTCTTTACGATCTCTAATTTCCTTATTTTTTTTCTGTTTGTCATCTTAAAATACTTTTTGCAGTATTTCCTGGAATATTTTCTTAACTTTACCTTCAAGCTCTTCTTGAGATTTTCATCTCATTATGTTCATATTTTACAAGAGCCCTCTTTGTTAAGAGGATGTTTTCAAGAGAGCCCTCTGTACTTATTTCTCAGATATAATAACTTCTTTTCTCATCTGATGATATTAATTATAGCTGGGTTTTTTTTTCTTTTTAGATTTTATTTATTTGACAGAGAGAGACACAGCGAGAGAGGGAACACAAGCAGGAGGAGTGGGAGAGGGAGAAGCAGGCTTCCCGCCAAGCAGGGAGCCCAATGCGTGGAGCTCGATCTGAGGACCCTGGGATCATGACCTGAGCCGAAGGCAGACGCTTAACGACGGAGCCACCCAGGCACTCCTAATTATAGTTGTTTTTTTCAGGTTTTCTTCTCTGCAAACTTTTTCTCCAATTTACCTTCTTTCCTCTTTGCTTGGTTTTTGTTTCTGTTTTTCTTTTTAGAAACTTTCTTCAGGTGTCTCATTCAGGTGTCTGTTCTTAATTTAATTTGGTATACTAAGGAGCTAAGTGATAGCTCTGAGCATGTTGGCAGGGTTTATCCATTTTAATATGTACTCTACGGTGAACTGAGAGCACTTGTAGTTGGGGAAACCCCAGTGTTAGTCTGATTAGGTCTTTCTACTTGGACTGGTCAGACTACTCAACTCTATAAAATCTTCTACCCAAAAGGAAAAGGCATAGATTGAAAAGGTAAAGGATTGATGGGAGAAGAGAGGTGGAGATCTACATCACTCAGGATATGCTAGGTAATGCTTCAGTATCAAACAACTCCAAATCTCAATGGCTTAACACAATTAAGGTTGATTCCTTTCTTATACTACAATATCCTATACAGTTCAGCATGGAGACCTTACAGTGGTCAGTCAGGGATCCAGGTTTCTGGAGACTCCATCTTCACCTATGCTTTCAGGATCACTATGTTGGAGAAAGTAAATGTGTTAAACCATGTACAGTCTCTGAAAGCTTTAGCATAGAAGTTATATCATTTCTTCTCACATTTTATTGGCTAAAGGAAATTACATGGTCATACATAATTTAAAGAGGAAATATTGATATTCTGCCAGGGGCGCCTGCATGGCTTAGTTACTTAAGCATCCAATTCTTGATTTCAGCTCAGGTCATGATCTCAGGGTCATAAAATCGAGCCCTGAGTCAGGCTCCACACTGAGCATGGTGCCTGCTTAAGATTCTCTCTCTGCTCCTCCCCCAACCTTGGTGCGCCCATGCTTTCTTGAAGGAAGGAAGGAAGGAAAAAGGAAAGAAAGAAGAAAGTTAATTCTGCTTTGTATCTGAGACAACTGAAACATCTGTGATTGGTCCCAGTGATTATCATAGCGTTTTAACAATCAGTCAGCATTCAATGTTTAGATGGTCACTTATTTCCACCACCCATATTGCCCTGCCCTCAATTTTTTGCCAGTGGAACCTCTAATATAATGACTCTCCTTTTTGCGGTCATGAGAAATCAAAACTCCAGGATCAGAGAAATAGGTTGCTCATTGACTGCAGGGGGGAAAAGTGATCTGCTACAGATTTAACCATTTTTCAGGCAATTTTAATATGATCCTCCATATTTGGCACCCTATCATCATTTCCAGAGTATCTAGGGCTGACAGCTCTGATGCTTCTGAAAATCCTGCTGTCTAAATAGGATTGGTTCTCAGCTTTTCCCACTTCAGGATTGGTAGTTGGTTTGTCAGTCTACTAAGTCATTCATCTACTTTCTAGCTACTAAGATTTTTCTCTGTTGTCTTCTACCTTATTCTTTCCATTCTTTTAAGTTTATGTTTTTGAAAATAGCTCTTCATTTTTATGTAATGCACATTTAGAGGAAGTCAAATTAAAGGTACATATCCAATCCACCAATTTAACTAAAAATAAATACTCTTGAATTTTTCAGAGAAATAGACATGTTTTATTGGTTAAATCTTCTGTGGTTATTATTTTAATTAATTTATGCATTTATACTTATAATCAGTTTCTTTTATTTTCTTCCTTTTTAAAAATTATTTTTTTAAATCTTGGGTTGTTCTTTGCCTATTTGTTCTCAATAAACCTTGATTTCTAAGACATGCATGTAAGCCTCACAATTTTCTCTAATCATTCTTTGGTTTTTATCTTAAATATCATTTTGTTAAGAAGTTTACTATATCAGCCGGAATTATGTTCTGTGTAATTTCTATATATAAATATGTTCTTTGTAATTTCAACCTGATATTATAGAAGAACCCAAAATGACAATGGCTAACACAAAATAGAATTTTATTTTCTCTTGTAAAAGGCTAGTGGCTTGAAATGCATTCAGTGTTATCTCCAATAGTCACTTTCCATCTTGTTGTTTCCATCTTCAAATCATGGCCTTTACTTTATGGTCCAAGATAGCTGCTTAATATCCACCCATTAGATCTCCATTCAGACCAACAAATGGGAGAAAGGGAAGGCTTTGTCTTCCTTTTTTAAGACTACTTCGATGAAATATTCCATGGCACTTGTACTCCCACCTCAGTGGCCATAACTTAGTCATAAGACCAATTCCAATCACATCAGAAGTTGGGAAATACAATCTATAGCCCACATATCCCCATGGGCAACTAAAAGTGAGAGGTCTATTAGTAACAAATTAGGGGAGAACATATATTTGGGTGAAATGAGTGGTCTATGGCATACCCACTCAGACCACACCTATAGCTCCCACTGCCCACTAGGAGCAGATAGGGTCAACTAAATTGCCTGCTTGGATTGATTATTAGAAGAGCATATGATCGGGGCGCCTGGGTGGCTCAGTCATTGGGCGTCTGCCTTCGGCTCAGGTCATGATCCCAGGGTCCTGGGATCAAGCCCCACGTCGGGCTCCCTGCTCTGCGGGAGGCCTGCTTCTCCCTCTCCCACTCCCCCTGCTTGTGTTCCCTCTCTCGCTGTGTCTCTCTCTGTCAAATAAATAAAATCTTAAAAAAAAAAAAAAAAGAAGAGCATATGATTTCATTCCTACATATTGGTGGTGTGATTTGTAGCCAAAAGAATTCTTGTTCCACTGAAAACTTAGCCCCAAAGCAATAAATAAATTCAATTGCTGGGGCAAGATTCTTTTTGAACTAATGATGCTTCCCCAACTGCCATCCATTTCTACTTCCTTTTATGACTTTTTAAAAATTCTGGGCCCAGAAATCTTAAAACTCCATTTTAAGGACTCCTTTGAATTATTATTCTGGATGCAAATTAGGCTTTACCAGTGAAATGCCTTCAGATGAGCAGTTTTGGTAGTAATAGTAGCTTCCTGATTTCTGTACTGCAACAATAGTAGAATGACTTCAAAACCAGGAGTTCAGTGCTGGCTCTCTCACTTTTGCTTGTCCAGTTCTTCTGATTTTGTAATTCCTTCTAGCAAATAGCTTTTTTTTCGTTAGATATACATAGAGCTTTTTATTGTCCTGAATTCTGAATAATTCACCTAAACTCAAAATTGTACATCTTCACTCAAATTATAAGGAATAGGAGCTTCTCAATTAGAGTTTGTAAAGGAAAAGAAGTAAAGTATAAAATCATCAAGCAGTTAGAGCACTATTCCCTTAAGCTAACACATCTTAGTTGGTTTAAGAATAGGGAAGAATAAAAAATTACAGGCGCATTCCTAAGAAACCAAGGATGAAAATGTTTAATAAATGTAATATATATATTCATATATTCATACATATATATTCATGACAAATATATACATGTGTGTGTATTTAAAAATAGACCATGGTCTGAAACCAAATCATAGACACTTTCTTTCTCCCCTTATGTGTAACACAATAAATAAAATAAGTTTAAAAATTTAATTTTTGGAGCGCCTGGGTGGCTCAGTTGGTTAAATGTCCAACTCTTGGTTTTGGCTCAGGTCATGATCTCAGGGGTCATGAGAAGGAGCCCCCTGTTGCTCAGGCTCTGTACTCATTAGGTAGTCTATTTGAAGATTCTCTCCCTCTGCCCCTCCCACCTCTCTCTCTCTCAAATAAATAAATATATATTTTTAAAAATTTCAGGGTTGCCTGGGTGGCTCATTTGGTTAAGCCTCTGACTCTTGATTTTAGCTCAGTTCATGATCTCAGGGTCATGGGATCTGAGTCCCAAGTAGAGCTCCAGCTCAGACAAGGAGTCTTCTTGGGATTCTCTCTCTCCTTTTCCTTCTCCCTCTGCCCCTCCCCCCTAAAATAAATTTTTAAAGAATGTGTTTGTGAATAAATAAGGAAAGTGCTCAACATCACATCATACATTTTAAAAGACGATAATTTGTTCACCAAATGATATTCTAAATGATAAATTATTAGGTCAACAAAGCAAAAAGCAAATAGTGTAAACAGTAAAAGAGCATTTTATAAAATAAATATTTTTATAAATAAATAAAATATTTTGTTGTAGTTTTTAAGTTTATAAAGCCAGATGATAAGATAAAATGTTGAAAATCATTAATTTATTCAATTCTAATTCATCTATATTTACTGCAATATGCATTTTCCTAAGCATAATAGAGCTCTCTTTTTTAAAAGATTTTTAAGATTTTATTTATTTATTTGACGTAGAGACAGCGAGAGAGGGAACACAAGCAGGGGGGAGTGGGAGTGGGAGAGGGAGAAGCAGGCTCCCCACAGAGCAGGGAGCCCGATGCGGGGCTTGATCCCAGGATCCTGGGATCATGACCCAAGCTGAAGGCAGACACTTAACGACTGAGCCACACAGGCACCCCACAAAAATATAGTTTTGAAGAGGTACATGCACCCCAATGTTTGTAGCATCATTACCAACAATAGGCAAACTATGGAACGAGCCCAAATGTCCATCAACTGATGAGTGGATAAAGAAAATGTATTTATTTTATTTTATTTTATTTTTTTAAGATTTTATTTATTTATTTGAGAGAGAATGAGATAGAGAGAGAGAGCATGAGAGGGGGGAGGGTCAGAGGGAGAAGCAGACTCCCTGCTGAGCAAGGAGCCCGATGCGGGACTCGATCCTGGGACTCCAGGATCATGACCTGAGCCGAAGGCAGTCGCTTAACCAACTGAGCCACCCAGGCGCCCGAAAATGTATTTATTTATAATGGAATATTACTCAGCCATCAAAAAGAATGAACTCTTGCCATTTGCAACGATGTGGATGGAGCTAGAATGTATAACGCTAAGTGAAATAAGTCAGAAAGACAAATACCATATGATTTCACTCATATGTGGATTTTTAAAAAGATTTTATTTATTTATTTGACAGAGAGAGACACAGTGAGAGAAGGAATACAAGCAGGGGGAGCAGGAGAGGGAGAAGCAGGCTCCCGGTTGAGCAGGGAGCCCGACGTGGGGCTCGACCCCAGGACCCTGGGATTATGACCTGAGCCAAAGGCAATGTTTAACAACTGAGGCACCCAGGCACCCCTCATATGTGGAATTTAAGAAACAAAACAGATGAACATATAAGAAGGGGGAAAAAAGAGAGAGGGAAACAAACCATAAGAGACTCTTTATGATAGAGGAAAAACTGAGGATTGATGGAGGGAGGTGGGGGGGAGTTCTAAATGGGTGATGGGCATAAAGGAGGGCATTTGTTATGATGAGCACTGGGTGTTATATGTAAGTGATGAATCACTAAATTCTACTCCTGAAACCAATATTATACTGCATGTTAACTAACTAGAATTTAAATAAAAATTTGAAAATGAAAAAAAATTCCTTTATTTTTTGTTCATATTGAATGTTTGAATCATGTGACTATATATTATTTTAAAAGAATGAGAATCATTATTTACATACCCAAACCATTTATTATGAAAAAGTAATCATCAGTCTACTAACATTTTTTCTATTTAACAGAAATTGAATTATTTAAAATAGTATCAGATAGTCTTGTTCAATATCAATTTTGAAAGAAAATACTCAACTTAGAAAACATCCAGATAAAATACTAGTTCCTTTGAGGAAACAAATAGTGTTTTTAAAACAACACTACAGAAACCCAACCATTTCCAAGGTAACAAAAAATTTTGTATGAATGAAAAGTATTTTTAAAATTGAAAGCCATCATTTACAAGATACTATGCTGATAATCAGAAAACACAATTCTCTTAGTCATAAGTAGGTATCAGTGAACAAGCTCAAACATCAGGAATCTGAAAACATTTATGACCTCCAATAATCTGACTCCCCAAAACTGAGAAACAATATTTTTCCACTATTGTATGAACATGCAAAATGTGACCTGGCTAAAAACAACAACAGCAAAAACAACAAACACCCAGAGATTCAGAATGTAAAATACTTCAACAAGCTGAAATAACTATAAATATGACAATAATTATTAATGTATGAATATGTAGCTCTTTATGTGAATGGACGGGTTGCGAACTAATAATACATTGGTTATAATTATCATTTATCTCCTCTTAAGGTGATATGCCTAATTGAACCCAAAATGATTTCTAAAGTGAGAGTTTTCCTCGGTGCCCCTACCAGTCCCTTCACCCACGAAATTGGGGATAATAGGCTTCAAGAACTTGAACTCATTTGACCCGGGGCCTTCCGTCAGACACACCTGGTACTGGTAGCTGTGCGACAGGGTCCCCGCGCCGCTGACGTCCAGCAGGTGGCCCGCGAAGGGGCCCTCGGGCAGCGAGCAGCCGCCCCCCGCCGCGGCCCGGCTCCTCCTGCCCAGCCGCACCGCCACGAACCCCAGCACCGCCACCAGCAAGAGCGACGACACCGACGCCAAGGCCACCACCAGGTGGACGGTGAGCGGGTCGGCCCGGGCCTCGGCCGCCGCCGCGGCCGGGAGCGGCAGGTAGGGCTGCGAGAAGCCGTCCACCAGCAGCACGTGCAGCGTGACGCTGGCCGACAGCGGCGGCTCGCCGTTGTCCTTGACCAGCACCAGCAGCCTGTGCCGGACGGCGTCGCGCGCGCTCAGCGGCCTGGCCGTGCGCACCTCGCCGTTGTGCGCCCACACGCCGAACAGCCCGGGCTCCGTGGCCCTGAGCAGCTGGTACGCCAGCCAGGCGTTCTGGCCCGAGTCGCCGTCCACCGCCACCACCTTGGTCACCAGGTAGCCCGCCTCGGCCGCCCTGGGCACCAGCTCGGGGCAGCGCGCCGAGCCGTTCTGCGGCGGGTACAGCACGAAGGGCGCGTTGTCGTTGGCGTCCCCCACCAGCACGCGCACCAGCGCCTGGCTGCTGAGCGCCGGCGAGCCGCGGTCGGCCGCGCCCACGCGGAACTCGAACGCGCGCAGCGCCTCGAAGTCCAGGGAGCTGAGCGCGAACAGCTGCCCGGTGGCCGCGTTGAGGGACACCAGCGAGGCCAGGGGCAGCCGCGGGTCGTGCGGCGGCAGCAGCGAGTAGGTGACCTGCGCGTTGGCGCCCGCGTCTCTGTCCGCGGCGCTCACGCGGCCGATGTGCAGGCCGGGGCTGTTGTTCTCGCGCACCCGCAGGGTGTAGGCGGTGTGGCTGAAGGCCGGCGCGTTGTCGTTCACGTCGGACACCGTCACCGTCATGTGGTGCTGGGTTTGCAGCCTGGGGGTGCCCAGGTCAGTGACGGTGATGGTGATGTTGTACTCGGCCTGGCTCTCTCTGTCCAGCGCTCCTTCAGTTACCAAGGTGTAGAAATTCTCGACTGATGGTCTTAGAAGAAAGGGGAGATTGTCATCTATAGAACAAATAACCTGTTGATTTTGTCCAGAATCTGCATCTGACACACTGAAAACTGCTACTATGACCTCTGGCAGGTTTTCGGGGATGGGACTGACGAGGGAGGACATGGTCAGTTGAGGAGCGTTGTCATTTACGTCCAGAACCTTGATGACTAAAGAGCATTTTCCTGATAGTCCCCCGCCATCTGTAGCCTCAATATCCACGTGGTATGATTGAAATTCCTCAAAATCCAAAGTCTTTCTCAGTCGAATTTCTCCTGTAATTGCGTTTATTTCGAAGGGTTGATTAACGTCATCTCCCTGAAATAGGGCATAAGATACCTCCCCAAAGGATCCTGCATCTAAATCTGTCGCTGAGACGGTGATAATCAGGGAGCCTAGGGAATTGTTTTCAGGGATTTGTGCCTCATAGAGTTCCTGAGCAAATTCGGGAGCATTGTCATTGATGTCCAAGACCAGGATCTGAATCTCCGTGCTCCCAGACCTGGGCGGAGACCCACCATCCAGCGCTGTGAGGGTAAGCCTTAGTTCGCGCTGCTCCTCGCGGTCCAAGGCTTTGTCCAGCACCAGCTCCGGGAACTTCCTGCCATCGCTGCGATTGCGAGTGAGAACGTGAAAATGAGGATTGGAGCTGATTATATAGCTCTGAAGACTGTTGTTACCAGCGTCTAAATCCTGTGCCATTTTCAAAGGAAATAGCTTTCCTGGTGTAGTAATTTCTGATATTTTTAGTAGCATTTCTCTGGCTGGGAACTCTGGGGCGTGGTCATTTATATCTCTGACTCGTAAAGCAGCCTGAAAAAACTGCAAGGGATTTTCCAGTAACACTTGAAAAGGTAGCACGCATGGCTCAGTGGAGCCGCACAGCTCTTCCCGGTCCAGTTTCTCATTTAGCAGTAAATCATAGGTCTTTGGGTCAAGCTGCAAATACTGTCTGTTCCCCTTGAAAACAACCTGGGCACCACGCGCAGCCAGTTCTCCTCTCCTGAGTCCCAGGTCCTTTGTCAAATTGGCCACAAACGTGCCAGTTTCTGACTCCTCCAGTACAGAATATTGAATCGATTCTGAACCGGCTTCCCACAAAAGCACCCATATAATGAGAATTGCCACTTGCCTTTTCTTGCGATGTACTTTTGTTCTCGCCATCTCCATTATGTCTGATCCCAGAGGAAAAAATCTTTTTCCAGTCCCCATCATCACGTCCACCACCGACCCTCCGAAATGTCTTTACTGTTGAATTTCGAATTCGTCTTATAACTTGTCTGGTGACGAGTGCCTTCCTGAATACTACTATCTTAGCTCCAGCTGTAAGTGTGTTCTGTATTTGGGGGGGCTTCTGAATAAAATGGAGTCCACCGAATCTGCAGAGCTCTTATTCACTCTCTTAGCCTGCACTGCCACCACGCGTTCAAATTAATAACTTCAGGAGGTGCATACAGGCAATACCATTTCCAAAATCTGAGCCTTATAAAGACTTTCAGGTGGAGTTAGTGTTTTTCAGATTGTAGTGTGTGAACCATATGCATAAATAATTACTTGGGAGTCTGAGTTGTTTTTTTCCAGGTTGACTCCTGGGTTTCCCTCCAGACCTTGAATGAAATTCTCTGGTGGTGCTAAGGGCTGAAAATCTGCACTTCAATCTCTCTCTTTAAGTGATTCTCGTGCATACTAATGTTTAGGAATCACACCCTCAGGTAATGTAAACCTGTAAAACCAATTTTTATTCTTTGGCAGTGAAATTTATCTCTGATGAGTAGTGTGATTTGTGAATCCAAAAGTACACTATTTAATCGTCCCAACAAACAAGTCAATAAACTATACAAAATGTAAAAGTTGGTTAGCAACACCAATTATAAAATAAACAATTATTTCTCTAAGTTATATGGCTCATAAAATGGCATGAACAACAAGACTTAACTTATTTTGTGGTTACACCTGCACAGTAAGGGGAACAATTAAGCTATTAGGAGGAAAATTGAGGCCAACACATACTTATGATAGAAGTATCTGATTAATTAAATTATTTAAAAGGGTAACTAGTGGGGCACCTTGGTGGTGCAGTCAGCTAAGCGTCAGACTCTTGGTTTCAGCTCATGTCATGATTTCAGAGTTGTGAAATAGAGCCCCCAGATGGCTCTGAGCTCCTGAGCTCCCTGCGAGTCAGCTTAAGACTCTTTCCCTCTCCCACTGCCCCTCCCTGCTGCACTCTTTCTCTCAAATAAATAAATAAATCTTTAAAAGAGGAACAAGCAACAATCAGTCTGTCATAAGTAGGCATTTTAGGATTTTACTTCATTTTTTATGGGTAGAATTGGTCATGATTTTATTAGTTTTGTTCATTTTATTATAACTTTTAAATCAAATTTCCCTCCTATATTAATTAATTAATGAAGGCCCAAATATATTACCATGTTGTAAGGACATAATGCAATGCAGAATACAAACATTCAAGAATCACCTCTATCATCCTCTCACAACAAGGATGACGCTAGTTGCTATTATAAATAGACACTAAGTAAGATAGTGAATTACATTTGAGTGGATTCCATAGAATTCAATGATGGTTCACCATGGCTATATCCATTTCTATCTCACCATTTTCTGCTCAGATAAATAGGAAAATATGTCTTTAAATATCCTCAAAATATATGAAATGGGTCAGTGCACATATAAGAACACAAAATGTGCCAAACATAATCTCATCTCAGATTGATTTCATAATTCTTGAGAGGTGAAATCAATTGAGTTCAACCAAAGTTCACTTCAGGTAAGAGCCAAAGTGATGGAAGATAAAAATGAGGATATTTTTCAAGATGTTTCAACTCTAGGTAAAATAAGTAAAGCTAAATAAAGTCTAAACTCTGAACAGATGAAATAATTTTGTAGTTAAAAAATATCTCTACCTACCCAGAAGGATAAAAAATAAAATCACTGTGACCAGCCTCCATGGTTCACTTGATAAATGTTACTGAGAATAGACTTCCTTGAGAGTATGAATAACAAGATAAACTGGTGAAGTAAAACCAACAATCATAAACATATTAGATGGGTTTAGTTTCTTCTTTGAAACAAAGTTATTTCCAACTCATTCCTTCCTTCGATGGGCATTCTGATTCCAGCTTGATGGCATCCCTGCCATTTGTGTGGTCCTTTGAGCTCTCTCTTTGCCTGCACTGACACCAGAAATCTTCACATATAGCTTACTGAATTATTTTTCACTTTAAAGCAAATTTTACTAGCAGTACAGTATCTGTGATACTCAATTGGGACATTGAAATGTCTTTGAGAATGTTGCTTGTTATGACAGAGAGGAAGAAGATAGTATCTTAATGTATCATCCAAGGCTATCAGTTGGTATGTGAAGACACTGCCTTTTTATGGAAATTGATTATTTTAGATTCTTTCAGGAGAGTGCTTCTCTGTTTTATTCTCTTTCGCTTTCCTTTGCTAGAGTAGAACTGAATTGAATTTATAAACTTGTCTCACAAGTAGTAACTCACTAACATTTGTGGAAAAAGTTCAACACATACAAAGCAAACAGCATAACTTCCATTTACACGTCATCCAGCTTCACAACATCTTGTCTCATTTCATCTATAACTTCCCCTCCACTTCCCACTCAATGTTTTTGTACAGGTCTTTTCTTAAGGTAATGTTTACACAAATTGAAATGCATCAGTCTTAACTATATAAATGGATCCATCCATGTAACCCACACCTCTTTCAAGATACAGACTATTTTCATCATTCATTGGGAATCTTCTTAATCATATTTTCCAGCTTAATTTTAATAATTAGGTGGCAAAAACTTGGTCTCCTCTGGACACAACATGGAAAGGTAAACAATGTAAAAAACCACCAAGCCCTATGTCATTATGCTCATGTACGCTTATGTGAAGTGACAGATCATTAAGATTAATTTTACTGATTATTACCAGTGACCTGAAATAATACTTTGATGAACTATTGTAAAGTATATTAAACTTAATTTTATTTAGTAAGCTTATAATTATTGCATAGCTGATCAAGCTGGTTTCCATTTTTATGCTACAAATGTTTGTTTTCCTTTCATTCCATTATAAATTTTAAAAATTCTTCAAGTTCTAAATGTGAGAATCCATCAAAATCCTACAGGAGAACCTCTTTGGCCTTGGCTGCAACAACTTCTTGCTAGACATGTCTCCAAAGGTAAGGGAAACAAAAGCAAAAAATGAACTATTGGGACTTCAAGATAAAAAGCTTTTGCACAGGGGCGCCTGGGTGGCTCAGTCATTAAGCGTTTGCCTTTGGCTCGGGTCATGATCCCAAGGTCCTGGGATTGAGCCCCGCATCAGGCTCCCTGCTCGGCGGGAGGCCTGCTTCTCCCTCTCCCACTCCCCCCGCCCCGCTTGTGTTCCCTCTTTCGCTGTGTCTCTCTCTGTCAAATAAATAAATAAAATCTTAAAAAAAAAAAAAAAAAGCTTTTGCACAACAAAAGAAACAGTCAACAAAACCAAAAGACAACCGACAGAATGGGAGAGGATATTTGCAAAATCTTTTCAGATAAAGGGTTAGTATCCAAGATCTATAAGGAATTTATCAAACTCCACACACCAAAAATAAATAATCCAGTCAAGAAATGGGCAGAAGACATGAACAGACATTTCTTAAAAGAAGACATACAAATGTCCACCAGACATGTGAAAAAATGCTCAACATCCCTCAGCATCAGGGAAATACAGATCAAAACCACAATGAGATACATCAGATCAGTCAGAATGGCTAAAATTAACAAGTCAGGAAACAACAGATGCTGGTGAGGATGTGAAGAAAGGGGACCACTCTTACACTGTTGGTGGGAATGAAAGCTGGTACAGCCACTCTGGAAAACGGTATGGAGGTTCCTCAAAAAGTTGAAAACAGAGCTACCCTACGACCCAGCAATTGCACTACTAGATATTTATCCAAAGGATACAAACATAGTGATCCGAAGGGGCACCTGCACTCCAATGTTTATAGCAGCAATGTCCACAATAGCCAAACTATGGAAAGAGCCCAGATGTCCAACAGATAGATGAATGGATAAAGAAGATGTAGGATATATATACAATGGAATATTACTCAGCCATCAAAAAATGGAAATCTTACCATTTGCAATGACATGAATGGAACTAGAGGGTATTATGCTAAGTGAAATAAGTCAAATCAGAGAAAGTAAATTTTCATATGATTTCAATCATATGTGGAATTTAAGAAATAAAACAGAGGATCATAAGGGAAGGGAGGGAAAAATAATATAAGATGCAATCAGAGAGGGAGATAAACCATACAAGACTTAAGTATAGGAAACAAACCGAGGGTTGCAGTTAGGGAGGAGGGTGGGGGGATGGGGTAACTGGGTGATGGGCATTAAGGAGGGCACATGATGTAATGAGCACTGGGTGTTATATGCAACTGATGAGTCACTGAACTCTACCTCTGAAACTAATAATACACTATATGTTAATTAATTGAATTTAAATAAAATTTTAAAAAACAAAAAAATTAAAAAAATAAAAATTCTTCAAGTTTACTAAAAATGAAAGACAAAGATTAACCTTCAAGGTTAGGCTTCCAAATCTTCTTTAATTTTGTTATGAATCTCTTAAAAAATCTTATTTAATTTAGCTATATCCAAGGAAAAACAATACTTCAGGGCAAAGATGGAAATATATAAGCAATCACTTAAAGAACCCTCTGAATTGATGGGAGAAATGATGCAGAAAAGTTTGAAAATATAAAGGATTTGAGGGGCTCCTGGGTGGCTCAGGCAGTTAAGCTTCCAACTCTTGATTTCATCTCAGCTCATGATCTCAGGGGTGTGAGATCATCGAACCCCATGGCTCTGCACTGGGCATGCAGCCTGCTTAAGATTCTCTCTCTCTCACAGACAGTAGTTTCAGTTCTGATGGTATAAGCAAAACAAATAAAACATGTTTATAAAAGTTGTATCTTGAAACACTGGTGTTCAACAGCTAGCAGCTTATGTGGTTCACCCCATGCATTGTTAGTGTTTCAAATTTTAATGGTTATCTCCAGCAGCTATTTCTGTAGTAGTTGCGTTTATCTTTTGTCTAACCCTAACTGAATTATCTTTTTCTCATGGAGGCGTTTATATTCAAAGTGGTGATTCTTTCCCTTAGATGCATAGGGAGAGTCACAAGTTTGATGGAGATGACAGTTTAGTAATTTATGTACTGTTGGAATTTGTGCTAGCAGCTTGAGCACTTGTTCTGTGTGCCTATGAACTTAATGCTGCTTGTCATATCCCACTTTGACTTCATGGAGAATGAATCCCATCTATTCAGCAAAGGCTACTAATACTAAGTGAATGGTATTTTCTGTGTGGAAACTGAATTTTGTTTTATTAGCCTTTAGCTAAGGAATTTTTCCACTAGGTGCTCAGCTACTAAAGAAAAACAAAAAACAAGACACAAAACTATTCTCAAACATTCATTATTAGACAACTGGAGTTTTTGCTGGTTTTGTAACCTACTAAAATGGATAGGCTGTTGAACATTTCACATTCAAAAGTTTTTTGTAGGATGGTGGGGAAGGGGGGGTATCTTCAATGTTTATTTTAAAATAAAAGAAGTTCTTGACTTAAAAAAAAAAAAAAGATTCTCTCTCCCTCTCTCTCTCTCTGCCCCTCCCCCGCTAAAAAAAAAACAACAAAGAACCAGCTTTTTACTTCACTGATTTTCTCTATTATTTTTATTTTGGATTTCATTGGTTTCTTCTATTATTTTTATTATTTCCTTCCTCCTGCTTCTTCTGCTTGCTTTGGGTTTATTTTCTGTTCTTTTCCTAGATTCTTGAGGTGGGAGATTAGATAATTGATTTGAGACTTTTCCTCTTTTTTAATGTATGCTTGTAATGTTATAGATATCCCTCTCTGCACCGCGTTAGCTGTGTCTTACAAATTT